TTGGGGTTTAGATAAAAACAGAATAAGACACGAGAGGAGGGGTGGGTGATTGATCTTTTTGGATGCAAGAAGGCCCCTTTTACCAGTTCCTCACAAAAGATTAGTGCAGAAGCTAGAGCATCAGGCGCATATAAACAGGAAGGGCACTGCAATGGATCAGGGGAATACCTGACAGGGAGACAACAACGAGTCATGGTACGTAATGATGTATCACAGTGGGCCCCTGTGACGAGCGGGGTCCCACAGGGGTCGGTCTAGGACCAGTGTATTTTGGTATTGTGAACGACATGATGGAAGGGTTAGACCCAGAAGTGTCCCTGTTTGCAGATGATGTGAAGTTAATGGGGGAGAATTAAATCTGATGAGGACCAGGCAGGACTTAAAAAGAGACCTGGACAGACTGGACACCTGGCCAGCAAATGGCTTCTCGAATTTAATCTGCCAAATGCAAAGTCATGAAGATAGGGAAGGGCACAGAAGACCACAGACCGAGTATAGGCTAGGTGGCAAAGACTGCAAACCTCACTAAAGGGAAAGAAAGATCTTGGGTGAGTTATAACACCGAGCATGTCTCCGGAAGCACACATCAACCAGATAACTGCTGCAGCATATGGGCGCCTGGCAAACCTGAGAACAGCATTCCGATATCTTAGAAAGGAAATCGTTCAAGACACTGTACACCGTGTATGTCAGGCCCATACTGGAGTATGCAGCACCTGTTTGGAACCCGCACTTGATAAAGCAAGTCAAGAAAACTAGAAAAAGTAAAAGGTTTGGGGACAAGGTTAGTTCCAGAGCTAAGGGGAATGTCCTATGAAGAAAGATTAAGGGAAATGGGCCTGACGACACTGGAGGACAGGAGGGTCAGGGAGGACATGATAACGACATATAAAATACTGCGGGGAATAGACAAGGTGGACAAAGACAGGATGTTCCAGGGAGGGGACACAGAAACAAGAGGCCACAATTGGAAGTTGAAGACACAAATGAGTCAGAGAGATATTAGGAAGTATTTCTTCAGTCATAGAGTTGTAAGACAGTGGAATAGCCTAGAAAATGACGTAGTGGAGGCAGGAACCATACACAGTTTTAAGACAAGGTTTGATATAGCTCATGGAGCGGGGAGAGAGAGGGCCCAGTAGCAACCGGTGAAGAGGCGGGGCCAGGAGCTAAGACTCGACCCCTGCAACCACAAATAGGTGAGTACAAATAGGTGAGTACACATACACACATACGAACAACGGAGGAGGAGGTGCAGAAGCTGCTAAGTGACCTTGATACCTCAAAGGCGATGGGACCAGACATCTCCACGTGGATCCTTAGAGAAGGAGCAGAGACGCTGTGCGTGCCCTTAACCACAATCTTCAATACATCCCTTGAAACTGGGCAACTACCTGAGATATGGAAAACACCAAATGTAGTCCCCATTTTTAAGAAAGGAGACAGAAACGAGGCACTAAACTACAGACCAGTGTCTCTGACAGATGTATAGTATGCAAAGTCATGGAGAAGATTATCAGGAGGGTGGTGGAGCACCTGGATTGGAGCAAGATTATAAATGACACCCAGCATGGATTCATGGAAGGCAAATCCTGTGTCACAAACTTTCTGGAGTTTTGTGACAAGGTAACAGAAGTAAGACACGAGTGGGGTTGGTGGATTGCATTTTCCTAGACTGCAGGAATTCTTTCTACACAGTTCCTCACAAGAGATTAGTGCAGAAGCTGGAGGATCAGGCACGTATAACAAGGAGGGGACTGCAATGGATCAGAGAATAGCTGACAGGGAGGCAACAACGAGTCATGGTACATAAAGAGGTATCACAGAGGGCGTCTCTGACGAGCGGGGTCCCACAGGGGTCAGTTCTAGGACCAGTGCTATTTTTGATATATGTGAATGACATGATGGAAGGGTTAGACTCTGAAGTGTCCCAGTTCGCAGATGATGTGAAGTTGATGAGAGGAATTAAATCGGATGAGGATCAGGCAGGGCTACAAAGAGACTTGGATAGACTGGACACGTGGTCCAGAAACTAGCTTTTCGAATTCAACCCTGCCAAATGCAAAGTCATGAAGATTGGGAAAGAGCAAACAAGACCGTAGACAGAGTATAGACTAGGTGGACAAAGACTGCAAACCTCACTCAAGGAGAAAGATCTTGGGGTGACCATAACTCCGAGTACGTCTCCGGAGGCAAACATCAACCAGATAACTGCTGCAGCATACGGGAGCCTGGTAAACCTGAGAATAACGTTCCGATACTTTAATAAGGAATCGTTCAAGACACTGTACACTGTGTACGTCAGGCCCATACTGGAGTATGCAGCAACCGTTTGGAACCCACACCTGGTCAAGCACGTCAAGAAGCTAAAGAAAGTACAAAGGTTTGCAACAAGGCTAGTTCCAGAGCTCAGGGGATTGTCCTATGATGAAAGGTTGAGGGAAATCGGACTGATGACACTGGAGGACAGAAGGGTCAGGGGAGACATGATAACGATATACAAGATACTGCGTGGAATAGACAAGGTGGACAGAGACAGGATGTTCCAAAGAGGGGACACAGAAACAAGAGGTCACAATTGGAAGCTGAAGACTCAAGCGAGCCACAGGGATGTTAGGAAGTATTTCTTCAGTCATAGAGTCGTCAGGAAGTGGAATAGCCTAGCAAATGACGTAGTGGAGACAGGAACCATACATAGCTTTAAGACGAGGTATGACAAAGCTCAGGAAGCAGAGAGAGAGAGAGAGGCCCTAGTAGCGATCAGTGAAGAGGCGGGGGCCAGGAGTTGAGCTCGACCCCTGCAACCACAATTAGGAGAGTACAATTAGGTGAGTACACACACTCACGCACACACACACACACACACACACACACACACACACACACACACACACACACACATATATATATAAATATATATATATATAATATATATATATATATATATATATATATATATATATATATATATATATATATATATATATATATATATATATATATTATTTTTTTATGAACACACTGGCCGATTCCCCACCAAGGCAGAGTGGCCCGAAAAAGAAAAACTTTCACCATCATTCACTCCATCACTGTCTTGCCAGAAGAGTGCTATATACTACAGTTTTTAAACTGCAACATTAACACCCCTCCTTCAGAGTGCAGGCACTGTACTTCACATCTCCAGGACTCAAGTCCGGCCTGCCGGTTTCCTGAATCCCTTCATAAATGTTACTTTGCTCACACTCCAACAGCACGTCAAGTATTAAAAACCATTTGTCTCCATTCACTCCTATCAAACACGCTCACGCATGCCCGCTGGAAGTCCAATCCCCTCGCACACAAAACCTCCTTTACCCCCTCCCTCCAACCTTTTCTAGTCCGACCCTACCCCGCCTTCCTTTCACTACAGACTGATACACTCTTGCAGTCATTCTGTTTCACTCCATTCTTTCTACATGTCCGAACCACCTCAACAACCCTTCCTCAGCCCTCTGGACAATAGTTTTGGCAATCCCGCACCTCCTCCTAACTTCCAAACTACGAATTCTCTGCATTATATTCACACCACACATTGCCCTCAGACATGACATCTCCACTGCCTCCAGCCTTCTCCTCGCTGCAACATTCATCACCCATGCTTCACACCCATATAAGAGCGTTGGTAAAACTACACTCTCATACATTCCCCTCTTTGCCTCCAAGGACAAAGTTCTTTGTCTCCACAGACTCCTAAGTGCACCGCTCACCCTTTTCCCCTCATCAATTCTATGATTCACCTCATCTTTCACAGACCCATCCGCTGACACGTCCACTCCCAAATATCTGAATACATTCACCTCCTCCATAATCTCTCCCTCCAATCTGATATCCAATCTTTCATCACCTAATCTTTTTATCCTCATAACCTTACTCTTTCCCGTATTCACTTTTAATTTTCTTCTTTTGCATACCCTACCAAATTCATCCACCAACCTCTGCAACTTCTCTTCAGAATCACCCAAGAGCACAGTGTCATCAGCAAAGAGCAACTGTGACAACTCCCACTTTATGTGTGATTCTTTATCTTTTAACTCCACGCCTCTTGCCAAGACCCTCGCATTTACTTTTCTTACAACCCCATCTATAAATATATTAAACAACCACGGTGACATCACACATCCTTGTCTAAGGCCTACTTTTACTGGGAAATAATCTCCCATTTTCCTACATACTCTAACCTGAGCCTCACTATCCTCGTAAAAACTCTTCACTGCTTTCAGTAATCTACCTCCTATACCATACACCTGCAACATCTGCCACATTGCCCCCCTATCCACCCTGTAATACGCCTTTTCCAAATCCATATATATATATATATATATATATATATATATATATATAAAATATATATATATATATATATATATATATATATATATATACACAAACACACATTAACGTATGTTCTTCTAACGTGTTACATACCCGTGACTGGTTTCTAGAGTTCTACTCTCGAAATTCAATCTGAGGGCAGATGTTTATTATTGTTTTGTATCCTGTTCGTTAAACTTCATTTGCCTTTTATCTCATTTTTTTGGGCCTTACTCATCTCTATAATCTTCACAGAGGTGTATTTTGTTATCCACTATTCAAGGGAATTCTCATTCATATTAATTTCATGGAGAAACGCTAGACACGTAGGGGTTATACCACACCCAGGGAAATGGGAGGCAATTAGAATAAATTCGGTTAAATGATGATAGGTTCAGTGCCTCGCATCAATAGACTCTTCGCCGGCATTAAGGCGCCTCCCTCAAGGAATTCAAGAGAAGTGCCTTGATGCTAACGAAGGGCTCGTTATCTAAGGTATTGTAGGTTCCTCTCCACTTAATCAGATCACACTTGATTGCTTTCCATTTCCCAGATGTTTTGATCCTTATGGGCTTGTTTCACCCCAACAGTATATAATTTATCATTCACTTATATTTTAGAACCTTAATCCTCCAGATTTCTCAACCTACCAATACCATAGTGAAGGCCTCCATACATTCCCTGCAGTGTAGCAATGGTAGATGGTGTGGCGAGGGCATCACCATAGGATACACAAGCAGCGTCCATCAGGGAGACAGTAAAACATTCCAGAGCTTCAAAGGGTAAACACCACCATGGATCTTGAATGTAGGAATATCCTGAGAGGAGAAACATGTTACTACTACAATGATGACGTACTCGCACACATAATGTTTAAGCATGTACTCGTCTGGCCAGTAAATGTAGAAAAAGTGGAATTATTCTTGGTCTAACCCATCACAGAGAATACCTTGATGCTGGCAAATGATTTATGGTCTTCAGAGCTAAATTTAGCCTAACCTTCTTTGGATCAAAACTGATTACATCCCATTCCCCAGGGACTGTATGGCCACCTACAAGTTTAGTGGTTTTCCAAAACTATAACAATCGTATAAGCAATCAAATATGTTATCACCAACTTAATAAAGTTTAACTAGAAAAAACTCAAATGGATTTTCCTTCTCTACTGTACTGAGAAAACATAAAAGATGAACAACCTATCATGCGGACGACATAGAAGGCAAGTCCGAAAATGAGGGTGTTGGCATGCCCCAGAGTGGAGATAATGTGTTTTGAGGCCACAAGGATGGGTATGCCGGCTGCAGTTCCCACGGTCACAGTGATGCCCAATAAAGTGTTCGAAGCTCCCAGATCCTGCAGCAACCAGAAGAGGAATGCATCCAGTATCCCGAAGAATGTACCTAATGAAAGTATTGAATATGTATTATGCAATTTTTTTCTCTCTTCAAGCTGGGTGCTTGAATGTTGATAAAGCATTATTCTCTCTCGGACTTAACCTGTTTACCTCCCATTCTGCAAGCACTAAATGACCTCTAGTGATTTAATGCTTCCAAATTAATATTATAATAACTGTTTTCTTGCTATGGTTTATTAACTTCTCGTTCATGTTATCATGTTCTTTCCCCTCACAAATATCGGACCATCTCACCTGTGAAAATCACTGCTAGAAGGAAGGTCAGAACTTCTGCTCTTTTTAATAAAGATTTGAAATCCTTAGTGACTTTGCTTGAAGGCATTCTGAAGTCAAGGTTGAGACAAAGGACAGCCAGGCTAGCTGCAACCTTCAGCACACAGTACATGTAAAATGTTGGCCTGTGGGAGAGAACACTTAGAATAAATATAAAATAACAGTGAAACACAATTAGATTTAATTCCCACTCTGCAACTATCATAAAGAATACAGTAGAACATTGCAGATGTATCCAATTTTGCTAATTAAAATAAGAACTTAGCTACCCACACACACACACACACACACACCACACACACACACACACACCCACACCACACACACACACACACAAGCACACACACACACACACCCACACACACACACACAAACACACACACACACACACACCACACACACACACACACACACACACACACAACATACACGCACATGCACATACAGGGGCCAATACTGGAGGATGCAGCACCAGTAAGGAATCTACACCTGGTCAAAAACGTCAATAAATTGGAAAAATGAAAAAGTTTGGAAGACTCGTCCTGGAGCTTAGGGGCATGTTGTATGAGGAAAGTATACGGGAACTCAACCTGATGACACTAGAGAATAGGGGGAATATTATAACAACGTATAAATACTGAAAGGAATTAACAAGCAGGACAGGGCTGAAAATATCAAGAGATTGGGACAAACCACGACCAAGAGGACACAACGGAAGCTGAAGACTCATATGAGTCAAAGAGATGCTACGCAAGTATTTTTATTAGCCTTAGAGTTATAAGGAAGTGGAACAACTGGAGAGTGAAGCATGGGAGGCAGAATCCTATAAATGCTTTAATAAACTGTATGATAAAGCTCTTGGAGCGGGAGAGCGTGACCTTGTAGCGACTAGCGAGCAGTTGGGGGGGCCAGGAGCTGTTAATCGGCTCCTGCAGCCTCATACTAGGTGATTACGCATAGGCGAGTACACACACACAGCACACACACACACACACACACACACACACAACACACACACACACAACTCACACACACACACACACACACAAATCACTGCTGCACATAATGGGAGCCTAGCCAAACCTCAGAACATATTCCCGACAATCGTAAGAAGGAATCGTTCAGGACCCTGGACACCGTGTACGTTTAGGCCCATATTGGAGTATGCGGCACCAGTTTGGAAACCCACACCTAGCCAGCACGTAAAGAAAACTAGAAAAGTGGCAAAGGTTTGCAACAAGACTAGTCCAAGAGCTAAGAAAAGAGGTATGTCCTACAGTGAGAGGGATAAGGAAAACAACCTGACGACACAGGAGGAACAGGAGAGAAGGGGGGACATGCTAACGACATACAAAATACTGAGGAGGAATTGACAAGGAGGACAAAGACAGATGTTCCAGATATGGGGACACAGTAAACAAAGTGCACAGTTGGCAAGTTGAAGACACAGATGAATCACAGGGATGTTAGGAAGTATTCGTTCACCACAGAGTAGTCAGTAAGTGGAAAAGTTTGGGAAGCGATGTAGGGAGGGCTGGATCCTTACATAGCTTTAATCAGAGGTATATAAAGCTCACGGCTCAGGGAGAGTGACCTTAGTGCGATCAGTGAAGAGGCGGCCAGGAGCTCGGACTCGACCCCCGCCAACCTCAACTAGGGTGAGAAAACTATGTGAGTACACACACACACCCACACACACACCACACACACACACACAACGCACACACACACACAGCACACGTAGGTGCGAAATAAGACTTTTTCTTATACCTGGGCCTCAGATCGCCTTAATTCTGGTCAGACATATAAGTCCCTTTTTTATGATGCCATTGGCAACTTTTTTATGAGCCATTTGCAATTTAGGAGGTCCATTGTAACTTTTTTATGAGCCATTAGGCAACTTTATGAGGCCATTTTCCAATTTTATTATAAGGACATTTGTCAACTTTATGAGGCCAATTTCAACTATTTTTAATGAGGCCATTATGCAACTTTATGAAGGCCATTTCACTTTTTTTATGAGGCCATTTGCCACTTTATGGAGGGCCATTTTCAACTATTTTAAGAGGGCCATTTGCAACTTTATGAGGCCATATCAACTTTTTATGAGGCCCATTCGCAACTTATGACCATTATTCAACTGTGTTTATAAGGGCCATTTGCAAGATTAAGATGAAATATCAAAAATAAGGATGAGAGGCGAATAACAACTATGTTGTCTTTCCTCCCTTCATCCAAGGGAATTGTGTAAATAATGTTAATTAATGTAACTAATGTTGTTAATTACGTAAAAAAAGTGTGTACCGAATGTTTGACTTTTATTAACATCGTTTCGCTCTTCAGGAGCACCGTTGAGCAATTACAAACAATACAGAGATACATAAACTAATATATAACCTGTCACCTTATCCAGGATAAGGTGACATGTACATGTTTTGTCTCTTGAGCGGGACAATGTTGTCGAGGGGTCCCGAACCCTGACCTGCCGCAGTTTCGTAAATGATATATAATATATATATATATATATAATATATATATATATATATAAAATAAATATACAAATATATATTATATAAATAATATATTAAATCTAGAATGAAAGGTGAAAAAACTTAAGCACAAAATGCCTTCAGTCATCCTTAAATGCATTCAAACGGAATTAAACAGAATAAAGGCAGTTTTTGACATCGACTACTCCTCATACGGTACTACTTATAGTCCTACTACAGGTCACTTGTTCTATCTAGCTGGAATATCTGCACACTAACAGCACCCTTTCAAGGCAGGTGAAATTTGCTGACCTAGAAAATGTACAGAGAACCTTCACGGCGCGCATAACGGAGATAAAACCACCTCAATTACTGGAGCGCGCTTGAGTTTCAAACCTTAATTCCCTGGAACGCAGGCGGGGTGAGAGATAAACTTTATTTTATACACCTGGAAAATCCAAGAGGGAAAGTACCGAACTTGCACACGAAAAATCACTCACTACACGAAAGCAAAAGACTTGGCAGCCGATGCACCATCCCCCCAATGAAAAAGCAGGGGTGTCACTAGCACGTTAAGAGACCATACAATAAGTTTCAGGGGACCGAGACTGGTTCAACCTGCCTCCCATCACACCTAAGGGGATTACCACAGACCCCTGGCATCCTTCAAGCTGCAACTGGACAAGCACCTAAAGTCAGTATCCTGACCAGGCCGGGCTGTGGCACGTACGTGGTTTGCGTGCAGCAGCAGCAAACAGCCTGGTTGATCAGGCTCTGACCACCTGAGGCCTGGTCACAGACCGGCCGCGGGGCTTGACCCCGGAACTCTCCTCCAGGTAAACTCCAGTAAACGATATTGCTACTACAATTACAAAGTACTACTGCTACTATTACTATTTTACTTTTTAAATAACCAACTTCTGCAATTACTACTATTGTAACTAACTACGACAACTACTGCTACTACTATACTACTGCTAATTAATACTTTTTACTGCTAGTTTATTCTACTACTATCAACTCCTGGTTACTAGTCTTCAACTTGCTCTTACTACTACTAACAACTACTGTTACTAGTCCTTCTACTGCTCTTACTACTACTACTACTACTACTACAACAACTACTGCTGCTGCTACTACTACAACAACTACCTTCATCAAGGGTCATCTAGGGAACCCAGGGGGGGGGGGGGGCGCTAATAATTTTTTGATCTAACATTAATTGCCACAACGTACCCACTGTGTACCTGTAATATTTGAAACAAACTTTAAAAAGCTCTGGAGAGCGAAAACGTTGCCACACTAAAAAGGTTAACATTATTAAGATGTCCTTTTACTCAAACAAAGGATTGTCCGGATGCGCCTCTCTTACCATTGCCTGCCAAGCGGATTTCCCACCATATTTTTGACGGGTCTTGACTCGCACGAATCGTAAATGACACGACTGCAAATCAACCATACCAACGGGTGGGATTGAACCCGCGGTCAGAGAGTCTCAAAACACCAGACCGTGGCAAACGCGAACTAACCGACGGGTCAGGAGTTTTGAGACTCTCTGACCGTGGTTCAAACCCCACCCGTGGTATGTTTGACGGTCTTACCGGTGGGCTATCCAGTAACTTCCTGTATCAAGCAAACGGCAGCTATATTAAATTCTAATTATGAGTTAATGTCGCCTTTGCAACAACAAATAAATTCCACCAATGGTATTAGTAAGGTATTTATAAAGGTCGTTTTAGAGGTCAGCAGAGGGCCTATATATACCTAAAAATAGCTTCTTGGGGGTTTAACTGCTGTAAGTAATTATGCAAAAACACTCATTTTAGGGCTATTTTCCCACCTATTTCAATCATCTAATAGACCAAAAACTAGTCTATTTCACTAGTGTGACTAAGTGATATAAAATATACAAGAAACGTTATTTTTAATCCATAGGCGCAACCCTGTTAATAGTCCAAAATTTTGACCCTTTCAGCGAATTTCGAACTAAATTCAACAATTTCCATTTCAAGTCAGCCATCAAAAAAAAAAAAAGGCATTCCAGTTTACTAAGAAAGTCTAACTCTCTCCATTAATCACATTCCCCTAGATTTAGCTATGATTAAAGTTCCATTCAACTGTGAATACAAAGTCACTCTAGAAGACCATTCTCAAGCATAGTGGGCGACCCCAATTGGTTGTTTGAATACTTAAACAGGTATATTTCAGGGAAATGACGGGGGGG